ATTGATTTACAAATAGAGTGAATTTATTGCTTGGTTGTTGCCCTTGCTTTCGCCGGCAGAGAGACATATTTTAAGACAAGATATAAATGGAAGGAATCCACAAGGCAATTATTCCACCTCTGCAGTACATGGCAGCTACACCAATGGAAAAGGTGTATCAGGCTACCTTTGTCTGTTCTGTCTCAGTGAGCAGCTTCTCCAGCCTTTCCTCAGCCCGTCAAGATGCTTTGGCAATCAGAGCAGAGTGGCTGAGGCATGGCGAAGAGAAATGTACAGTGGTGGAGTGGAAGGAAATTACATAAGGAATCAATTCAATGAGTTACCTCCCTCTATGAAAAGATGTCTATAAATCAGGCAGGTGGCCGAACCCAAATAACAACCTTTAAGAGCCTGTCCACCAATACACAATGCATTACAAAGCAAGGTACACGCCGTCATATATCTACTTCTATACTATATTCTATACTAAACACAGCAGTGCTGTTAACCACATGACCTAAGTGCATTTTCCACTGATATAATCCATAATTTGTTTCATTGGCATGAGATTGCAATGCTTTATTATACCAGTGGCACAACTGGACCTTCTGTAGACACCCCTGGATTTGAGTGTTCTAGTCAGACGGACGTCAGGGAGGCAGTCAATTTGCGTTGGACGTCCTTTTTTTATAATGTACATATTTTCACTGAATGATCGTCTTGAAAAGGGTACTAACAATAATCCCGCAACAACATCATCTTCACCTGTTGCCATTTCGACGTAAAAACAACAATAACACTTCAAAGGAATAGCTACTTCTAGAGCAGTGGTTCCCAACCTGGGGGGCGCCAAAGATCGCCAGGCCTCAGATAATTTGAAGCCAAATATCATATTTAGACTTTTAAAAAAAAAAAAATGTATACATAATTGTAAAAGGCCTTGTCTCTACATTACAATAAAATATAAAAAATAATTGATTGATTCAGTTGAATAATAATTCAAGTTAGTAGCTATTAAAGGCATACAAAGACAGAAATGTATAATTGTTTCTTTAATAGAAATGTTTCTTCCGCCCGTAAAGTGTCCAAACCAGGCTTTTCTGGATAAGCGCATTTTTAAAACATAGTCATTGTCCATGCCGGTTTCAGTTGGATTATTTGTCAGTTGCTCCGATCAGATCGGTCTCCTCCATTTTGTAGATTATTTACGACTTTTGAATCCACATAAACACAACGGCAAAATCCGGCTTACTTTGAGCATGTGTTTTAAACAGTTTAATCCCTTTGTGAATTGTTTCCACTTCCGCGCCTTCCTTTCATTTCTTCATACAGCGGGAATCCAAATGAATTAATCCTGAGTCCAATAACCATCAAAGTCACTCCAATAGTGCTCCTTAATTACGCTTTCATCCTCCTTTAACAAAATACTTCACATTCACCCAGTTTGTGTGAGTATTTGTAGCATTTTTGAGACTTTTAAACTTTAATTACCGTTGTTGCGTGCGCCCGAACCCCCCCGACCACCCCCCCCCCCCCCCCAGTGTGTGTGTGTGTGTGTGTGTGTGTGGGGGGGCGCGCAACTTCCAACAGGAGTCATTTGGGGGGGCCCTTGGGAAAAAAGGTTGGGAACCCCTGTTCTAGAGTACCCTGGAATCGTGCAAAACTCTGAAAGAATACGCCCATTGGCTACAAATCAATATATGATTGGTTGATAAAATTGTCAGTCCAAACGTACGCTCTCATTCAGTGTAGGGCCAGGGAATTCTATCAAGGATATAGAATACCTTGGTTGAAGGATATTCTTCCCAGAGACCCAGAACAGTATCTGATTGGTTGCATTTTTTTTCTAACACGAAACCACTGAAATGCGTAGAGCATGGACTGAGAAAGACAAACAAATCAACGTAACACTGTAATATTACAGATCAACAACACAGATACGATTCTCATTTATTCATTTTATTTACATTTTATTAAATTGTATTCATATAATTATTAGTTTTATCTGAGTGTTCAAGGGTATTCTCTGAGTACCTTGAAGGCCCTGACGGTTCACCACTGTATTATACAGAGGTGAGCTTTGCCAGGGTTTTCTGTAATGCTACAAGAACAAAGTGCTTCATTCCAAGAGGAAACATCCACCTTTTGAAAAATGTGACACCTATTCTGACACGACCATGAAAGCAAAAATGAAGACTTATCTGTCTTCTGCTCTTTACTGACAAAAAGGCAGTACTGTAGAAGCTGTAATCATTTTTAAAGAGCGGGTGAACACCAGGTCATACTTTTTTCCTCTAAAAGCCATTTGTAGAGTTTATTTCTGGGATAAAGCTCTTCTTTGTGCTCTTTTATTTTATACAAGAAATGTCAAGTCTTCTGAACAATTACTCTTCCAATTACACTCCCGGTGCCCATCACTTGTGTTGCTTCCTTATGTTTCTCTTCATGATGCTACCACCTCAAAGGATGAGAACCATAATGGAGGTTGTAAATAAAGTAGATTGCAAGGTCAGCAGGAAAAACCAGTGATGGAATAAATTAGGTTCCAGCTCTAAAGAAAACAACATACAAGACAACATGAATTATAACAGTAAGGTGTGGTAAAATGGTTCTGTGACCGCAACCTTCTCCTGATTTATCTGACCAGAGAGGCAATTTAACGCTTCTCTGCTGATTTGTTATGTTCGCTGTGACCTGTCCGCTGACATCAATATGGGTTGGGTGTCAGATGGTGGGCTTAAACGGCCATCGTGAAGCTCATTTGAGTTAGCACATGTATGTGTGTGTGCCGGCGCCACACTCATTTCCAGTTGTCTGCTGCTGATAAATGTCAAGGCCACTTGAGAGATGGCGATCAGCAGTTTATTTCCACACACGCAGAATCAACACACACCAATGCAGCACTATAAACATTGCCACATATCCGTAGTGCATGTTGAAAAGTCAAGCCAATAGCATCACCATGTACGTGATGTAATGCTAAAAACATGTGCAGCCAAGTGAAATAATATGTGTTTATCCATGAGTGAGCAGCTGAATGTCTAGCATGATCTCAGTCTCAGGTGTAATGGATGCCTGACAGAGAATCTCTCTCTGTAAATCACATGGCTGCTCTTGTATTTCCTGCATGACTGGTCAGTTTCCTCATCATCTACCGTAGGTACAGAGCGAGCGACCTTGTGATGGAATTTACCCCTAACTCTGTTTGTGAATTGCATCATCTCACTGTAGTTTGGACATTATTGCATTCCCTGCTATAATAAGCTGAATAAACCCATTACAGTGCAGCATTTCACAATAAAAAGACATCCTGTAATTGTGAAGATACTGAGCTGTAAGGATCTACAGCCTCTTGCAATGGAAAGTTAAGTTGCATACAGGAAAAGAAAGACAGCCATTTGACAAAGTGTGTTTATGTGTGTGACGGTGTGTGTGTCCAACATCAGTGTTACCTTGGTTACTAATTCTATTTACTAAGGATTGGATCCATTATTCAGGTTCTTCGTCTCAAAGCTGAATAGTTGTTATCACTGTGTGTCAGGGACAGAGACTCTGAGGAGGCAACTATTAAATATTCAGTGTTTTAATTCACACTATTTCAGTGTTTAATAAATAACGTGTATACCATGCTGAAATATAAACTGTAATGAAAAACTGATTTTATTAAGCTATAAAAAACTAAAATCAATGGGAAATGCAAACAATCATATATCTACTTATACTAACTGTGATATTATGGAATTAAAACAAGTGCATCCTTTCCTTGGGACATAATCTTACTGCAAATCATGTTTTATAGAACCATTCAGGGCATGAAAAGGTCATAAAATAATTATTGCAAGGGAGGCCTACAGAAGCTGAGGGTAATATGTGCTGATAACTTGACAGCGCAACAAAAGTATGAATAAAACTGTAACATGAATTACAGCCTCCGCATTCTGTGATCAGTGAAACGGCACACAAAGCATTAGGGACGCAACAATATGGGTATTGAGATATAGAAGCTTTCTCACTGACAGCTACTGTATTTGGTTTCTCACAAAGCAGAGAAAACTGCTGTGAAATCCACATACCGTTGCTTCTAATTCTCAGCCATACAGTGGTAGCATTTCAACAATGCAAAAAATGATGCCGAGGTAAGCAGTTGACTTGCCACTGATACATAACGGCCTTCATTAACAATCACTGTGAAATACATTGATTAAGTACAATGTCTTTTATGGAGCCCTAAAGTGTTCAGTATAAAATAAATAAGAAATTGTGAAATAAATGATTGGTTATTACAGCAGGGCATTATAATAAAAAGAATGATCGTTCTTATGTTATGGCATCATAGTTAACTTTTCTTCATTTATATAATTTCCATTTTGAAATGAGCTTTCCCAGTCTGTTTTCCAAGTGATTTTTCATCTCACATTATATTTTATGTCATAATTTCACTTCGCCAGCCTCTCAGCTGGTCCGGAATCGTGTTGCGCAAAATGAAAGTGACGTCCCTATGACCTGCTCTTTCTTTAACCATTCAAGTTCATTACCCAACTTCATGCCATCCCATCAGAAACTGCCAGCTAGCTAATTTACCAGTAAGTAGGCCTACAATTGAGACACCACAGAGAGCCAGTATTAATGGCAGTAGATAACAAAAAAAATGTGACAGTGTTGTTATTAAATGATGCTTTTCCAAGGCACACAACTCTGAAGTGCAAAAACAGATAGTCTTTGTTGTGGTTACTTAAGCCAAGAGTAAGTTAGCTAGTAAGCTGGCGGGTGTTTGATGAGGGAGGCTGGGGCCATGCAATATGAAGATTCAAATGACAAAATTACACTTGATTGTTAACTGATTAACAGTTAAGTTGGTAATTTATATGTTTCACTATAGGATTATTTATTTCATAATTTCTTATTTGTTCAAATAATATTGACCTGGGGTTCCATAATGTTAGAGTTCGATTTAGCTGGAGTTAGAGTGCCCCAAACCTCTAAAGCTGTGTCCTCCCCTCCCCCCTCTTTCTGTGTCCCAGGAGGGCAAGTGGATGAGAATGACTGGTAAACTCCAGACCAGCAACGTGACCAACAAGAATGACCTGCGCTCGCTAAACTCCAGAGTCTTTATTGGCAATCTCAACACAGCCATTGTCAAGAAGACGGACATAGAGATCCTCTTTGGCAAGTACGGCAAGATAGTGGGCTGCTCTGTGCACAAAGGTTACGCCTTCGTACAGTATTTGAACGAGAGGAACGCACGGGCAGCTGTGTCTGGAGAAAATGCACGTGTCATCGCTGGACAGCCTCTTGGTGAGTCATTTTTGCTTTTTACTGTGTCTCTCTATTTTGTCGAATTGCTGATGCCATCAGAAAAGCATAAAGGGCCAACATGATATGTCCCTTCAGAAAACGTTTCCCTTGGACTACAGGATGTTTCGTTAAAGCCTGTTCTTCACAAGAGTAATGGATTGTCTCTCCCGGGAACATAATATGCCTTGGTCACCTTGCAGACTTTTAGTTTAGGACCTCTCTTGGCTCCTAAATGCTGAAGTGTCTGTGCTTGTTGTCACTGTGTTTTGGAGAAAATCCCTTTGGAATCTGTGAAATGATATACAAGTGAATATAAACGCAGTTTGATTTGAACATTTACCAGGCAGCAACTTGCAAAAGTATGTCAAAGACACACTACTAGCAGAATATGTTAAATGGCCATGGGATGTAGCTACTTATGATACATTATCTACTGTGCATGCACTTTGCTATGGGTTTGCTTTCGTGGATGTTGACTATAAAATGTTTTCGTACACATTTTGTTTTGCTCAATTGGAATTCATTTTGTATGTGAAATACATCGTCTCAGGCCTTTTTTGCGAAGCTTTGGAATTAGATTCAGCAGTGCTCATTGCTAGACACTGCTTATTTAAAACATTATTTTAAAATAATCACGACTGGATGAATCTGCATGCAGGCAACAGACCTTTTGATTAAAGTATTTTAAAACGTGTTTGGTGTTTCAACTAAGGAAGGGTTAAGAGTGCAAACATCACTGGCTGTCAGTGTACAGTTAAAAATATCAGCGTATGATGATAAAAGGGATCATTGCATGATGGAAGTTAAGTGTGGATGGAATATTATTTGAATGCTGAATACGTACAGAGTTGATATCTGGCATCAGGGATCTGTCGTAGGCTTTTCACAGCAGTGGTTGTGAATTGATAATATGAATTAAGGGAAAGGAGACTCAAAACCAACAGTGGGGTGAAAGTGGATGTGTGGTGGTTGCAACTTGTTTGGTATTTAGGGTTAGGGTAAATGCTAGGAAGTAAAGAGAACAAGGGTGTTAGTGTATTTAAAAAGTGCTTTAAATGTAATCTTGTTTTCTTTGAGTTGGTCAAAGAGAGCTGTATGTGTTGGATTTATTATGTTAATGTCTACAATTTTTTATTTGGCATTCATGCTCTGGTCACTTCCCACGTTGAAACAGCAAGCTCCACACAGCAGGAATTAGTGAGTCACGATAATACCTTCCCCCCTACAGGTGGACACTATACAGTTGGTGGTGAAAAGTAAAAAAAGTAAATGTTGTTGACAAATAGTTGCAAGGCATATTAATTAGTAATATATGGCCTTCCGATCTGAGGGAAACTAGACCCCTTTGCACTTAAATTATTCAACGTCTTTACATTTATTCCTGGTATCAATATGTATTTTAAGTGTTTGCACTGAGTAAGAGGCTATCACTGTGGATGGCTGATCAAAGGCCTGAAGAGTTTGCACTATGGCTTAGATTATAGCAAGATATTGTCTGAAAATGCAATTCATATACTGTACACAAAACGTCCCTGACAATATACAGAGGTGGTTTGGCCAATTGGATTGCAACTAGTCTTAAATACAAATGACATGCATCCATACTTTCAAGTACTATTACAATCCGGTCACCCAAAAAACAATGAATACAAGGGGAACTAGAATGGTCCGCCATGGTTTTGGTATAAATAGTTCCTTCATGGACATTTCAGCAGGACTATTGTACCCTGGCTTGAAGCGTATATTTCTAACAACTTCTACATTATGCCACTTCAATATACATTATCCTCAGGGCGGTATTTTGGGGTTAGGGTTGTTAATGAAAAATACATTTTTCACACAAGAAAATTAACACAACCAGGGGAAACAAATTCAGTTAAAGGGCATTACCCAGTGAAAAAGATATTCCCCAGACTGTTAATTACTGTGTTAATGAGCATTAACTTTGACACAAGTGCAGTGTAAAATGCATTATTTAGCGAAAGAAAATACAAAGCTCATGGTTATTAAAGGACAGGTTAACGGTCTTCTTTGTATTCCCAGAACACATTAATTAACCTAAACATAACACCAGGCAACTGACTAAACTGCCTCAGCCTCTTAAAAATTCTATTTGGCCAAGACCCTGCTTTCACATGTTTTAAAAATCCTTATTCGACAAAGTGGCCAGCCTTGATACAATTGTAAAATAGTAGCAAGAAACATTATGATCTAATCACTAAAACCACTTGCGGAGGTATCATTTTTACCGTAAATGCTAATGCTTCCTTAGCATCCTGATGACCCACAACAACCCAGTTCTATTATCTCTTGTTGGTTCTCAGATTTTAGGAGCTGGCTTAATCCACAATATCTGAACATTTCCAAAAACCCAGATTGCAATTAACACATATTCTAGGAGGTGATTCAGTTTGCCTGTAACATATAGAATCAATCAAGACACTTTTGAAGATGCATTTATATGCCAGGTGTGAACTTTCCTTTGCAGAGCTGTCCGCTTGAGATCAAAACACCAAAGCTGCAAGTCAATGCCAGATGAAAGCAATTAGTTTGCTTTATTTGCTTTTTTGTTGTTAAAAAGGGTAGTGTGCATCAAGGCTGGCCTTATTGGCGTTTAATGTCACGTTTTCACCAACTAATGGGATGTTCACTCTGAAAATAAATGTTCTGATTTTTATATCCCTGCAACAATGAATAAAGCATGGTAAAGAAAAATCTAAAACTGCAAGTAATGATGAGCTCTGTATGCCTGATTAAAGGGTGGCTAATGTGCTCTCAGTCTTCCATTAGTTTCATATTTGCCATTATGAATATTGTAATCAGCGAATAGGCAGAAAAACAGTTATTAAAACCAAAACCATCGCTGGTCAGAGCCAAAATGAACACTCTACCATATCCAGAATAATGGTGTTAGTGATGTCTTTGTTTGTTATCTACAATTCATAAGACTCTCATTATGTATGATTTCTTGTTTTTGGTTGAGAAAGCACACATAATCAAAAATCTGACACCATAGTTGAATTCAAACCGACTGCAGTAAGGCAACACTGCCCTCAGTGATATCACTCAATCTACATGTCATGGGACAAGAATATGACTGGAGGAGTCTTAATTGACAATCAAGGACACCCTCAGTCTCCTCTCAAGCTGATGCTTTTTATATTACAATGGCAGATTAATCGATCAGCTACATAATGATAGAGAGTTTAGTAAATTACCTCCACAAAGTATCTGTCCTACTGTTTCACCTCAATTTCAGGGATCACATTTGAGCTTTGTTGCTGGTGGAGCTGCATTCAGATATGTGGGTGTTTCAACCACCCTTGACTATTGGGATCATGAGAAGCCCGTATGAAATGAAGCATGGCATTTTGTTACGGAGGCAGAGGTACGTTTGAAAATCACGGCTTTCTGCTGGCACTGGAAAAGAGGTCAAAGGAATAATCACATCGCTCTTCGACTGCACGGACCCACCTCAGCAGCTCAGAGGCACTGGTGATGACTTATCTGTGCACTCAAGTGTCAAAGGTCAAAGCCTGCCAGCCTGCCACCTCCACAGAAGATAAGACTATCACTCTGAATCTATGTGTGTGCGACTGTGGATGAAGAAAAGCTGATAAATAAATGCAAAAACGATATTATAGCACAGCTGGCATCACCTTCCTCCCCCTGCCACTAAGTGGCAAAAAGGGGATGCACCATTACCCTATCAAATATGAATAGGCGTTCACAAGATCACATCTAGGATTGTGAGCACAGCAATCATTACTAAATAGCAATGCTATTCTGAATGGCACAAGTGCAATGTCTCTGTGCATTTCCTGAGTTACAAGCATGAAGAAATCAGTCTTAAGCACTCCACATGAACACAGATGTTGAATTTTGAGTCTTGCAAAGCAGACGTGAAGGATATTTCCTCTGTTGTCTCTTTCACAGCGGTGCTGAAAACTCAGACAGCGTTCCAATTAAATCCATTAAGTAATACCTCTGCATAGCGCAGTGTTTTGGCATTTATAATTTGTTTACTGTTTGCAAACAGATTTTAAACTGACATGCACTAACTGCAAAGCATTTGAATATGTTTAGGATATTGTTTTTTTAGTTATTATTAAAGAAGGTAATACACCTTACATTGCATATAACAGTAATGCCTAGTAGTATGTTGGAATGTCTCACCACTGTTTAAATGTCATAAGCATACTGATCTTTCTTTGAGTTTTGATACCTTCATGTCTCTTTCCATGTTGTCTGCTAACGCTATAAGGTATAGGAATATTTTCATTTTCAGGATACCGGAAAATAATGTACTTTTAGTGGGAATCAAATGAAACAGCTGTAGGTGTTATTGTGGCTAATTAAACCTCTGCTCAGATGGGTGGAGCTCGTAATCTGCAGTCACAAAAGTATCACAGCCATCTGAGTGCAGCTCTATGTTGTGGCATAAGGCACGTTAAGTACAAGTTTATCTGTCTCTCGCTTGTTGTCGTTGTGTGTCTTCCCTCTGGCTAAAAGCTGGATTGGGGAATTCCTCCCGACACAGTGACATGATGATTGCTGGCATCCATGAACCTCAAATGCATCTGAGCAGTTTTCCCTCATCGCCCACTGAGATCTCTCTGCTGTATGTCCATGGCCTCGCTCCTCAGTCAACTGTGGGCTGCCATAGAGTCAAAGAGTGACATTGTTTTGCCCTCAGCTCTCCCAGTGTGCACTAAACCTGACAATTCTACTGCTGAGTCCCCAAATATACATGTATACAACTCACTGTATAACCCATATGTAACTGAAAACTAGCTAGCTTAAAACCAACTTAGGTTTTGGAAAGTTTTCTGAAATGTTCTGATGAGTTGGGATAGTTGGACTACTTTGATGGATTTGAATCAAAAACTTTGCAATGCACACCACCCTTGCCCTATATGTCGTACGATGAAGATCTAGCTTTTTCTTGTTTTTCTCATCTGGTTGTTTCAATTATGTGGCACTGTGTGCTTCTGTGTACC